GGAAGACTGAAGGTACAGGCAAGGAGGAAGGTAAGCTACTGCTGCAGCTAGGAGGGCTGTGCTGGAAGTGATGCTGCAGGACTGTGAATGCAAATCCTCTCTCTTCTTTTGAATAACAGACCAAAAAACCCTGAGCCTAGAAGAAAATTTTCCTCTTAATGAAAAGCCCCAGTGTTTGCTTTGGGGCTAAACACAGCAGATGAGTTGATTTAAATATTTCTTCTTCCTAGGAGTAGCGAAGTGCATTTGTGTATTTTGACCCTAACTTAGAAAGAAAGGGGCTAGGGTGAAGGAAGAAGCAGTTGTGGGGGTATATTGGAGGAATTATGTTCTTCTGTTTTGTTTATGTGTGCTGGAGAAGGAAGATGGGCCATCACACATGCAGGCAGAATGCCTCACTGCTGCACTCTGCAAAGGGAAATGGGAAGTAGACGCTTGTGCTGCAGCAGACTGGACACGGCACAGCGGTTCTGTCCCCTTCTCACACTCCGTTTTACAGCCTGCAAAGATGAGGCTGTGTCTGCTTTGCTGAGCAAAGGTTTCTGGTTAGCTGAAGGCTGTAAGGAGTCATGATTCTCAGCTCCAGGTGACTTGATTTCAGAGCTAATGTAAATGCTAGCTCTGACACGGTGAAATGCTGGGGGATTGGAGCTGGTTGAGAAACTGGCAGAGCTCTGGAGGAAGGTTGGGGTATACTTTTTGTCAGAAAATCACTTCTAGTTTACAGCTTCATCTATGTTGACACCTCCCAGTTGGTCCTGGAATAGTCTGAGATGGAGTGGAGGGTCTCCAGGCATAACTATGTGAGAAGATCTGGCCTGCGCAGGCAGCTTCAGGAAAAACTACAAGAAAAGATATTTTAGGGATTTTTTTGGTTTGTATGTGGGAAGGAATTAAAACAACATTTTGAAATTCCTGTTCTCTGGGACATTGTGATCACTGCTCTTCTGTTTTGCAACAGAAAATCTGTGGGATTTCAGAATTCTCCTGTGGTGGGTTGACCCTGGCTGGAGGCCAGGTGCCC